TATTTATCATTTTGATGTACAAAGGTAAATGTAAACAACGCTATGTAATTACAATGCGTTATCTCATCGAACAGCTACAAATTAGAAGAAAGAAGCATTGAAACGTTTCTCTCTACATTCGAGAATAAATAAAAAGATTGCTATTTTTTGGAAAACGACGCTAAAAAAGGTGTTTAAAAACAAAATAATATCGTTATTTACTATTGTAAGACCACTAATTATCTTCAAATGTTTGATCAAATAAACAAAGTTCTAAATCTTTTATTATCATCGTATTAGTAGTGCAGTATGCTAGCAAACGGTTTGTTATAAAGTCGGAAACCTCCACAGAGCCTGGTATGTGTTATATATGTTACATTTAATAGATATATACAGAAACATAGCCATAAATCTAAATTGGTTTTAATCAAATATAGAAAATCAGTAAATGATTGATATCTAACTGATATCCTAAGAAATCGCCTTACCTTAAAGGCATTTTTTGTTGTTTTATTTTTTGGTCAAATATTTGCATAGCTAACTTTTTTTTATTGTTGTTTGACGAATGGTTTGGGAAAAAAAGGTACTGATACTTTTTCTGTAACTATTTAATAACAGGTACATACGTAAAATAGTAAAGGCTATTTGTATATGCTTTTAACTTTCTTCAGTACGTATAGTGATCGGCTTAAAATGAGAAAACATTGCAAAATATAACTGATAGTTTACTTAGGGGGAACTTCAATATCCAAAAATGAAATTATGTTTTAAATCTTATACATAATAGCTAAACGTTATTTATATGTACTCACCTGAGAAAGGCTGCCATAGATCTGCTCAGGTGTGTAACGATAGACGGTGAATACATGCTGCTTGCTTTTGCTTCAAATGTCATCAGTGGTGATAGCCAATCAAATCCTACCTGTAAGGGGGCACCCCCAAGGTAGCACCCTAATTAAATGTAGCCTCTAGATGAATCGCAAGAAAAACACATTAAAAAATGTATCAGACATATGTTATGTTTTAAGACTTTGTTGATGTTATAAATTGTATCAATACTGAATAACTAAACTACAGGAATTTTGACGGTTTAGCGTTGTAAAGACGCTGCATAAATAAGTTATTTCTAGTTCCTAATTTCCATGCAAATTAGACTTGAAATCAGAATGTAAATGCGTAAATCTTGAGATAAAAGCATGAATAAATACTTGTATCTAGCGCACATATATTTGATAACCCTTCTCTTATGATATGGAAACATGTAATAGCATATGTATTTGGTATGTAAACAATTCCAGTATATACTAATATGAAAACTAATACTCCCGTTCAACGGAAAATTGTTTGCTTGATGTAAGTACAGCGTATAGCGGCTAGCCCAAGTTAAGTGCAGACTACTACAAATATTGTTACGCACCACCACACATCACCTACGTGGCGAGTCGACGCTAATCGATGAGCTCGGTAAAGTCCGTTTTAAAATTCGGAGCTCCAATTTCCCAGGTCCACAGCAGGATAACCCTACGAGGCGGACACCAAAAACGGCATACACCAATCTACTTTATACAGTTGGATGTAATCTCCCTTATAGCTTTGCTGCTTCAAGGGATATTCCGCCAATGGTGGAGCTAAACCAGCCGACAATGGAGTTGTGTCAAAATATCAAAACAGTTAAGTGCCAAGAGCAAAGCATTAGCAAGGCCGTGTGTGTGGATACCTGCAGCTTCCAATGACTTTAACTTGATCGCCAGCATCAAACGGCCAAAATACAACTACTTTGCAATCCTCGTATTGCCAGGAACATCTTTGAAGATAGTGGAATATATGAAGTTTCCATTAATCCCTGTGGTCTCAAGATTAGATACCTCTTGCTTACCCTTGGAAATCAGAGTCAGGATTTTACCCAATCCATGAGGTCACTGTTCATTTGCAGGAAGGGGTTTCTAAAAGTGCGCTTCGTTGCTCTTTCAGTTATGAGAGCTCCCTGTACACACGTTCCTGTGCAACATCTAAGACCGAGCACTGTAAATGGTTTATTTACATGTCGAAGTGGACATTCTCAACCACTTTTACAATGTAAGCGTCGACTAAGACAATATTAGGACATGCCATTTCTAATCATAATTGCTCTTTATAAATAACTGAGGGCCGCAAGGACATTTATCATTTGCCCTACCCCTGTGGAGCCGGTAAAGGTCACTTTGTCCACGTTCATGCGCTCAGCAATTGTAGCTGCTGTGGGACACTCATTGGGGTGACAATAAGTATACAAAGTGGACATTTAGCTTTTTTAGCGGGCTGTTAAAAAATGAGGGCAGCGTCGTTTACCATTCTTATCCTCCACATATAGCACTGTGATCATCACCAAATTCAAAGCGGAATGTCAGGAAACCTACACGCCCTCTGTGGACCGGCAGCAAACGATGCTGCAACCAATACAACCGCTTTTCACACAACACTGGTGATACCATCATATGTTCCCCTCTCAGTGACGGAAAGCCTCAGACCTCGTCAAAGCTCCATTGAGGACTCCATTCTCGGCACGAATGCCCCATACAGTCCGACACTGAAAGGCTCTTCTTTGACAGTCACGATGATCAACCATCATCCGCCAACAATCTGAAGCCACATCGAATGCACTCAAAAAGGAGTAAGAGACTTAACATAAACAACCAACTGCGGTACCCGTAGGAGGAAAAGTATCATCTAAGTCGTTGTAACCAAGATTACCCTTCTGTCCTGTCCGCTGCTATATTTTTCAATCTATGCAAAGATTCTCGTAATATTTTAAAGCCAGCGAGATTAATGGTGCTGGCTCACGCGTAACGTCAACTGCATAAATACCTAGGCTTTATGAATGCGAAAACTTTGATCAATTAAAATTGCGTGTGTTTTTGGAGAAAAATGATATCTTGTCAACGAGGAGATTACATTCTTCTTTTCAACCGTTTTAAGCATTATTTTGTTAATCAACTGGTAATGAAAAGTTTGATGTGAAGAGGCTCGATGGGCTTGATTTTTCACCAAAGAGAGCTTTTCATTATCCTCGTATATACACTATCACTAGTGGAGTTCGGTGATTTTGGACATTTTTACCAAGAGTGGATTTAAATCACTAAACGTTTAATATTACTCTTTCCACTTCAAGTTAGGTCCAAACATACAAACTGCAACAACTTCTCAGATTACTTTGTGCAGAACTAGTCATTTTAACAAGTTAACAGAGTATAATATACATAATTACCTAGTCATAAAAGACATAAAAGCATGTAATAAATTCTGCTTATTGAATTTATTTACAAAGCATATTTGATTTTTGATTATATGTTTTTATTTAACCATAGGTGGGGCCATTTCAAACTGCTAAAATCGTCAGCAGCAAAGCAAGACAAGACGGAAAAGTATTTGAACAACATGAACAAACATGGTACAACGTAGTGAAGTCGTATCCTCATCTGGAAAAACTGACAAAAGAGTATTTGCAGACAACTTTGAAAGAGAGCAACACTTCACACCGAGTGTTAGAATCAACGAAAAAGCCGGTGCACCAAACCTTGTTTAGTAGCTATCAGACGAGGACAGGAAACGGTGCAACTTTAACGAATCAGTCTGATTCAGAGCCCGCTGTAAGCCCACCGTATCGAGCTGCTCTCAGTCCAAATAGAGTTACAGATCAGAAAGGATCGACCATTCAGGGTGACCATAGAGGAATGGTTACTTCTTCCAGTCATACTGTTCTAAACACCACTGGAAATATTTTTTCCAATATCATGTCTAGTCGATTCACAACAGCTTCAGTTATCGGAAATAGCACGGATAGTTTAGGTACAACAACTGTTACATTACAGAATATAACTGATGAAGTGATAGCAAAGACCATGCAACCAACTTCCGCGCCAACCACATTACCTTGCAAAAATAAAACCACTTCCGACACCACTCGCATAACTACGACAACACCAAGTCCAGCTACTACACATATGCACAATGGTACAACCACGCCTAGAATCACACTTAATTCAACAGCTGCAACCCAGCAAACTACTGTAACAACCCCCATTATTGCAAGCACGTCCCCTACCACCACTGCAACTACGCAACTCACCGTGACTAAATCTATTTCAAATTTCTCTCAATTCAACGTCATATCAGACATAAAATTGACATCAGACTCTAAACTAATAAATGGCAAAAAAGGTTTTCATACGACAACAGATGTTTTATTACATAATTTAATTGACAAAGCGAAAATGTCTAATTTGCAACTATCTACCACGCCTACGAGTATAAGATTAACCGATAACACCGAGCCAATTACTACAACCGATCCCTTAACTGCGCCCACACCCACACCCATAAACACACAGACTACAACAACCACACCCACTGCCACAAACAAGTCCGTTACTGCAAACTCTCCAATAACTACAGCTTCACCAATTATCACAAGCACAGGCACCTCTACACCAACGCCACCTGACATAAATAATTCGACTTACATATCTAAAACAACTACCACAAATTCAACTACGCCAATACTAATAACCATGCCTACAACTACAACTATACCTACTTTGCCAACCAAGCCCACATCTGGTTCTATATCAAATGTATCTTACTCAAACATCATAGATAAACCATTTACAGCAGCTAATGATTTATTTGATGGAACGGTTAACATGAAAACAGCAACACATGTTTCACAAAATATAACTGATCAAGTTAGAAGAACACCTATTCAGCAAACTCACACGATTACCACTATCATACCCACTCTCACTACTACAACAACAATTCCAACCATACCTAGGACACACACTACAATAATTACGCCTACTATCATAAAAACACCCACTGCTACAATTACGCTCACTACAACAACAACGCCCACTACCTACACTACGCCCCCTTCAACAGTTACGCCTGATGACACTACTATGCCCAATACCACAACTACACCCACCACTACAACAACACCTACTAACATAACTACTCTAACTACCACTACTATTCCCTCTACTATGCAAAATGCTACACCTAAGCCAATTACAACTACTACGCTCAATACCAAAACTACACCATCTAACTCTGCACCGCCCACTAACACAACTACGCCAACTATCACAACAACGCCCACCACGACAACCACGCCAACTACCACAACTACGCTCAATTCTACAACTATGTCCACTTCTGTGCCAACTACAGTAACGTCGCACACTAACGCTATTACGCTCAATACAACTGCGCACACTACCATTACTACGCCCACTACCACTACTGCACTTATTACCAATACAATGCTTACTGCCACAACTGCGCCCACTTTTTCAACTACGGCCAATTCCACAACTTCTTCCACTACCAAAGTTACACCCACCACCACTATGACGTTAAATACCACAAGTACGCTCGATACCGCAGTGACGTTGATTGTCCCAAATACAACTACAACCTCTTCTAAACCCACTTCTCAAACTACGCCTAATACCGCTACTTCACTCAATATTACCACTACGGCGCCCACTACCATTACGTCACCTGCAACCGCTACTATATCTTCTTCTATAACTGCGCCTACTACGACTACTTCATCCACTACTAAGTATTCTACCGCTACTAGGTCTACTACCACTACTAAGCCCACCACCATCTCTACGCTTACCTCTACTACTACTACTACGCCTGCTAAACGAACTTCTAGACCTGCGCCCGATACCACTACTTCAACCACTTCTAACACTTATACGCACACAACCACTACATTACCTACTACTGTCACTATTACGCCCACTTCCACTATTACGCCCACTTCTGTTGCTACACCCACTACCACTATTATGCCCCTCATCCCTATTAAGACCACTTCCAAATCTCTTTCATATTCCAACGTGATATCTGATAGATTTACAACAGCTTCAGAGTTAGTAAGAACAGTTGGCATGGGAATGACAACAAATCTTGTATTACAAAATACAACTGATATGCAGAAATCAACAACTATGCAACAAACTATCACGCCTATCACTATAACATACGCTGAGAGAACAAATCAAATAGCTACAACCTCTCCAATTCCTACAATCAATCCTTCCTCTACAGCAAATCGAACTGATACAACCATAATCTTTACAACAACAAGACCGACTTCCGCAGCCACGCCCACTACCACATTTGCTCCCATTACCATGTCTACATCCATTTCAAATTTATCTCATGGCAATGTCATGCCTGATCAATTGACAACAGGAACCGACATAATAAATGAGACTGTTGGCTTAGATATGTCAACAGATGATGCATTACCAAGTACAACTAATAACGCGAAATTACCGACAATGGAACTAAATATCATGCATACCACAATAACATCCACAGATAAAAACAAGCCCGTTACTACAGCCAATCCCACATCTACAGCCACACTCAAATCACTAAACACACAGACCACAACACAAATGACAATTGGCAAACGTAATGGTGATATAACAAAGCCTTTTACTATACCTAAGTCCACAATCACAACCATGCCCATAACAACCAACATGTCTACTACCCCTACCAACACATCGTCCGTGTCTATTTCAAATATCTCTCATTCCGGCTTCATATCGAATCAATTGATAACAGCTACTGATTTACTAAATAGGATGATTGGCACGGAAACAACCGATTTTGTATTTCAAAAAACATCTCATAATGGTAAAATGACAACAGTACATCAAACATCCACGCCTACCACTTTAACGTACACTGATACAACCAATCAAACTACTACAACCACTTTCCCACCTACACTCATACACACTATCCCAGCCACGAAAAATGCTTCAACCACCGTTTCAACAATAACTACACCAACTACCACACTCACGCTCACTTCCAAAACTACACCCATCACCATTCCCCTAACTATTTCAACTCTCTTTAATCTTAATGTCTCATACGATCGATTGACAACAGTTTCTGGACAAGTTCCTGAAACAGCTGACTTGCAAGCGACAAGCAATTCTTTACTACAAAATACGCCTGATAAAGTGAATACAAAGATCACGCAACAATCTACCACGCCTACTTCAAAACGATCCCCCGATATAAGCATGCCAATTTCAGAATCAGAAAATAGAACAGTTGGCACTGTGAAGGCAACAACTCTTGTGCTACAAAATACAAATGATATAGTAGAAGCAACGTCCATCCCAACAATTACCACGCCCTTCACAATAATATTCACAGATTTAACTAAACCTATTATAACGAATACACCCAACACCACAACCCAACCCAATACTATGAATTCACTTACCATCGCAACAAAAACCTCTTCTACTACAACACGTAACACATCAGATTATCCTAATGCTACAACCCTGTCCACCTCTGCCTCCACGTCTACAAAACCCTCTTCTACTACAACACGTAACACATCAGATTATCCTAATACTACAACCCTGTCCACCTTTGCCTCCACGTCTACAATTACAACCACAAATACCATACCAACAACAACCAAAACTTTGCCCGCTAGGCCTATGTCAACAATAACGACGTTAATCACACAAACAACAAATACACCAGCAACTAAACAGAATTCTACAATATCGGCACCTGCTGTGAAAACTAAGTTTGTTTTCGATCGTGCGACCGAAACAGCAGCGTCTTCAAAACCTCTGCATGTTTTCAAATCTTCAAAAGAAAGTCCTACGACTTTTGAAGCAGTAAATGATGACCACAGTCTTGTGCAATCCAAAAAAACGCGGTTATTGGAAGAGACACGAAACATCAAGTATCGGTATAAAACTGCGATGGAGCAGCAAATGATCGAACCAAAATATGCATCTACAACAAAAACACGAGGTACAGGACCACAAGATTTAGCTGCAATAAATAGCAAGCCTACAAGCAAAGCAATTCCGATCAGAGCGCTGATAAAAAACACTCGAACACCTTATAATAGCATCAGTAAAGTTAAGTATCACCCATTACCGAATAAAGTCAACAAAATAAGGACAAATGACTACGTACAAACCACACTTGAAAAAGTGAAGGTAAGTCAACAAAAACCGAGTCTAGTTGACAAATCGAGGACATATAACCACGTACCAAGTACAATAGATAAAGTGAGGTCAAGTTACAATGAACCAAGTATTGTGAACAAAGTGGAAACAAGTAAACCCCTACCAGGTGCGGTGGACAAATTTATAAAAGCAAATCCCCCTGTACAAAGTTCAGTTGACAAGGAGGTGAGGACAGTTCACCATTTCCAAAGGGCAGTTGATAAACCGAAGACAACTAAACGTTTACCAAATATAATCGACAAAGTACGGACAAATTACAACGCACAAAGAACAGTCAACAAAGAGAGGACGAATTACAACGTAAAAAGTACAGTCAACATAGACAGAACAAATTACAATGTACAAACTGCAGTCAACAAAGAGAAGACAAATAAGCACGTACAATTTGTACCAAGTAAATTTGACAAAGTGAGAAAGATTTCCAACGTTACCAATAGTGTCAAAAATTTAAAAACAAATTACCCTACACAAAGTACAGTCGACAATGAAGTGTGGATCAACCGCCATGTACCAAGTAGTGTAAGCAAAGTGAGTACTAATACCGAAGTACCAAGAACAGTCCATGCGGAAGGGAATCTCGACCAAACAAGAACACCTTACCGTGTATTTGATATAGGTAACAAAATGGGAATAAATCAACACGTATCAAATACAGTCAACAAGGATGTGAAAATAGATCACCGCGAACCAGGTATACTCCAAAATGTAAAGACAAATCACATCGGTCAAGGAACAGTCGACAGCGTGAGTACAACTCAAGAAAAGAAAAATCAACTTGTTCCAAATATGCTCAAATTGTGGACAAGTAGCCTTGTATCAAATGATGTTGACAAAGTGAGGACAAAAGTAAGTACAAATCACCACTTATCAAATAAAGTCAGCAAATTCCACACAAAAATCAAAGTGCCAAGTTCCGTCGACGAAGCGATAAAAACAAATTATCATGAACCAAGTACTTTCGTCAATAAATCTAGACATACAGTCAACATCGTAAAGACAAATTACCAAGAACCAAGTACTTTCGACAATAAATTGAAACCAAATCCTCATATTCCACATGCAGTCGACAAAGTGAAGACAAATCATCAAGCAAGAAGTACATTTAAACAAGTGAAGACAAATGACCATATATCAAGTAATGTGAAAAAGGAAACGCCGACACATGACCACGTCCTAAGTTCGGTCGTCATAGCAAAAACAAATCACAATGTACCACAAAAGGTAGACACAGGAAAGACAAACCACCAGAGAATAGGCAAAGTGAGAAAAAGTCACAACGCACCAAGTAAGGTCAACAAAGTAAGGAGAATTCATATACCAATTACAGTCGAGAGGCAGGTGAGGACAAAAAGCAACGTACTAAGAGTGGTCGGCAAATTCAGAAAAAGTTACCATGTACCAAGAACAGTCTACAAAGTTAAACCAATTTATCACGTACAAGATACAGCTGAAAAATTGAGAACAAATCACCACGAATCAAGTACTGTCGGAACCCCAAGGGAAAACCGTCGAATAAAAGAATCATGGCAAGTGGACTCACTTAAATCAAACAAGATTGTACCCTCAGATAACCAGGGCTTACTAAGTAATCCCGCACGCCTTGGCCATACGGCATCCACAGCACACCATTACAAATTATATCAAGACCACACGCCTAGACGTCTTACCGGCCATGTCAACGAGGATCCATCACTGCATGGTTATACACCTTCCACAAGTTATGTGCATGGCATCAAACACTCGTCTATAGGACAGACAGGATCCGTTTCCAGTGAATTTAATGGTCCGTTAGCCCACGTGACACCATTTGAACAGAAGAACAGGACAGCTACTATCATTAAGGCTTCGGGAACCATACCCTTTGAACAATCAACCGCGGAAGCTATCAACCAGACAAGTAAAGGGGCTGATGTCATTTCATATCAACACGGGTTTTCTGGAAAAGGTAAAAACGATTCGTTTTGCATTTTGGTTTAAAAAAGCAACAAATGTTAGACATCAATTGGAAAGAAAAGCTGGATAAAGTACAAAAACTGGTGAACAACTGGAAAATAAGGAAAACTTACTATAATTGGGAGGATACAAATAGTGAAATCATTACTTGTACCACAGTTAACATACCTTATTTCAGTGTTATATATTCCCACAAACACAATTCAAGATTTTGAAAAGATAATTTACAACTACATATGGGATGGAAAGAGAGAAAAAGTAAAAAGGAGAACAATGATCAGAGCATGCAAAGATGGAGGTCTAAATTCAATCGATATAAGATCCCACATTGATACATTAAGGATAAATTGGGTAAAAAGACTTGTATCAGAGGAGGAAGCCCTATGGAAAGTTATCCCACAATTACAGCAAGACATGTTTGGCCCAAATATGCTCATCTGTAAAATGAACTTAGATAACTTAAAAAATCTTCCAAAGAGAGAAGAATTATCTCCTTTCTACTATGAAATCATATCAGCATGGATAACACTCAGAGAACCAAACAAAGAACCAAAACATTACAATAACATGCTAGCACAGATCATATGGGGAAATAAATACATAAAGATGAAAGGAAAAACATTATTATTTAAAACATGGATAGAGTCCGGTATTATAACAATCAAGGACTTACTGCATAACAGTGTAAAAATGAATGACAGAATGATTTATGAAAATCTCAAAAATAAGATTAATTGGCTGTCAGAACTATCAATAATTAAGAAAGTAATACCAAAACGTTGGCTAAAAACAATTGAAAAAAGTTATGTCAACATGCAAAACTTTAAAGTCAATATTGAAAGAGATTTAGTCAATAAGCTTCCAAAACTAGAAATAATGAAAATCAAAAATTGCAGCAATCAAAGCATATACAAACATTTAACAAAATTGCGTTCCGAAAAACCTATCTCAATAATATATTGGGAAATTCACCTTAATATCAATTCTGTACTAGAGTACACAAATGAATTCATATCCAAAACCTTACAGAACAACAAACTAAAAGAGTTCAGGTGGAAATTATTAAATAAAATCCTAGTATCAAAGCAAGATACACCTAATTGTAATGTTTGTAACATACCAGAAGACTATGAACATTTTTTCATCAAATGCAGATATCTACAAAGTTTTAAAAATACAATTAAGCACCTCTTTGATAAACTTGGATATAAAAAGGATATGTTGACTTTAAAAAACTTAGCGATTGGATATAAAATAGAACACCCAAATTATAATGAACTCAATCACCTCCTAACAATTATAGGCTTTGTAATCTATAAATGTTATTACATAAGTGAGGCAAAAACTAAACAGGTAAATGTAACAAGCATATTTAAATAATATATACAAACAACAGTAGATATTAACAAATACAGAAATAAACAATGTAAAATTTCCCTAGACACTCTGCATCTCTTGTAGGTACACATCTTCAAACACTTCTAATCTCCACAGAAAAAGTCGGAGAATCACTTTCATCGAATGCAAACTCTCCATGACTGAAACGACACTGAAAAAAAAGGAAAAATGACTGATTAACGTGACACTGTACTATATGTTAATTGTATTTAGTTCTCTGACACTACCCCCCCCCCCTCATATTTATGTAATGAACAATTATTATTGTTACATACTAAATAAATAAAATAAGTATATATATAAAAAGTAATGATAACAAAGTTAGATAATCGATTTGATACAACTAAAATAGAAAATCATGCTACTTATTGTCCTTTTATGATACCCTGAAGGTGGAACACGTGGGTGCTACATCAATAAGGAACCTACCCCACACAACAATGCAACAACATATCGTGAGAACGTTTACAAATATAAAAACACTTTGTTATTACTTACCTACACCTTCAATGTATATCCACACAATACAACGGGAAACGCGTATAAACATCCAGAAACCGCACCAAATTCCGAACACATGTAGACACCACCATGATTGTACAATATAAGGATAAAAACAAACGTAAACACGGGACCTTTTAGTTTCCGGATTGAATCTTTTATTTTGATTATTTACTTTTATTAACTTGATTTTCGTTTTAAATGTGAATCAATAGACTATATATAATATGCTTAAATTATGGTGATTAATGGTTAATAAAAAAAACAAGATTTTAAAAAAAACACGTTACTATACAATATTGCTTGTACTACATAATGAAAAAGCTGTTATTATACAATATAACGTGTTTACTATGTAATGATTTTTTTTTATTGTATTACTAGTACATTATGATATATACATGTAACTTAAATTATAACATGATATTGTAGTTCTAGAACATTATGATATATAACTTAAATTATAACATGATATTGTATTTCTAGCACAAAATGATATATTACTTAAATTATAACATGATGTTGTATTTCTAGTACATTATGATACTGTATATACATGTAACTTAACTTATAACATGATATTGTAGTTCTAGTACATTATGATATATAACTTAAATTATAACATGATGTTGTATTTCTAGTAGATTATGATATATTACTTATAGTATAACATGATATTGTATTTCTAGTACATTATGATATATGACTTAAGTTATAACATGATATTGTATTTCTAGTACAAAATGATATATTACTTAAATTATAACATGATATTGTATTTCCAGTTCAAAATGATATATTACTTAAATTATAACATTATATTGTATTTCTAGTACATTATGATATATTACTTATATTATGACATTATATTGTATTTCTAGTACATTATGATATATAACTTAAGTTATAACATGATTTTGTATTTCTAGTCCAAAATGATATATTACTTAAATTATAACATGATATTGTATTTCTAATACATTATGATATATAACTTAAATTATAACATGATGTTATATTTCTAGTAGATTATGATATATTACTTATAGTATAACATGATATTGTATTTCTAGTACATTATGATATATAACTTAAGTTATAACATGATTTTGTATTTCTAGTACAAAATGATATATTACTTAAATTATAACATGATATTGAAAAAAAAAATGAAAACCTGAAAAAAGAAATATATATATATATATATATATATATATCTTACGATTTGCCAATAAATCTATCTTACAATATATCAATGAATCTATCTTACGATATGTCAATAAATCTATCTTACGATATGCCAATAAATCTATCTTACGATAAAAAAAAACAAACAAAAAAAAACAAAAAAAACCGATTCGTTATATACTTTTATTTGTTCTGGTTAATTGAAACTTTAACTATTTCTGCAGAAAATCATTCTCTATCTGATATGAATTTGCAATAATATCTTTTTATCCTATGCTCAACAATTAACAGCGGATATGTTTATCTTTAAACCAACTTCTTTTTTTTTGTGGATGAGCAGTCGGAGCCATTACACAGTATGAAGAGAAATCGTTTAGCAGTAATATATAACACAGAACGTAAAACAGTCAGTATTTAGGAACTGGTTTTAACCTTTGTGTAAACATGTAAATAAGTATGACGAATCCCGCCCGTCCATAAACAATTCACTAGTCAGGACCGTACATGTCTTTGTTTAATTCATGTGCACACACATCATCTCTATACCTTGTGTTCCATACTCCATATCCATGTTTAATATGCCCTCTTCACCTCTGTGATAAATGCCACAAAAAGATATGAATGTTTTCCATATCTGTAATACATAAAGAAAATATATTAAGAGATTTCACAGAAACAGTGTTTAGCATACCGCTTACCGATCTTATAAATAAGGAACATAATCAGCATTGTCGCTTAATGGTGTTTAGCGTACCACTAACCTATCCTATGAATAAGGCATATAATCAGCATTGTCGCTTAATGATGTTTAGCGTACCACTAACCTATCCTATAGATAAGGCACATAATCAGCATAGTCGCTTAATGGTGTTTAGCGTACCACTAACCTATCTAAAAAATGAAGGCTTCTAATGGAGCTTAAAATCAAATAGGATATTATTCTTGTCAAGGGGAGGCTTCATCCTTTATGTGTTTGGTGATTACCATTAAGTACTGTTCTGTTTTACTATCACTTGCATACTTTCATAGACACTTTCTTTACCCCTGATACTTTGTCACCGATCTTCTTTGAGTGATTGTTGACATTATGTTTCTTACCTTGTATTTATCAAAGGTGACATGTTCCTTGAGACAAATGATTTTTTTTTCGTAGTGTTATAAATGGCGTTATATATAGAATGATTTTTAAGTATTATCATCTTCAAGCTATTTAGACAAGTACATTCAGAGCTGTTAAATTGTGATTTTCATCTGTTTTAGACCAATACAAAATATATACCTAATGTGTTAAAAGTATTAGCCTTTGTTTACAGCTTCTGACCACCAAAAGGAAGACAGCACATACGGTACTCGCGATTTTAGAGGCATTTTTTTTTTCGAACTTCCTATTTGGGCCCCATAACCGGCAAGAGGAGAAAGCACAGACTGCTAAAGTAGGCATTCCATTGGACATGACGATATCACTTCCTATCCATAACGTTATTCCAAACTCCAACGGCGATAAAAGAAGAGATGAGAAAGCAAATCATTTGAGTAAATACCTTGCAAACCTGTTTGGTGACATCTTGAACCAGTCAGGAAGAACAATTGACCAATCTTCAATACACCTAGCTGACATAATGAAAAACAAGTCTACTGGAACAAGTTTAAGTAAACATTCGGCGATAGATAGCTCGCCAAAGCAATCGATCAGAAGCAAGACACACCAATTAAACAGAGCCACGTCAAGCAAACTAATGCGAGCCTTAGCAAAACAATCAAACGGAGCCGTATTTTACCAATCAAATGGAACCACTTTAAATCAACCAACCAGAACCAAACAAAATCAAACCAATGGCATCATGCCAAAAGAAATAACCACTGCGGGGGCCACTCAGTCTACCGCGGATACGACAGAAAGGACAGACAAGAAGAGCACTGCTACCAGAGGAAGTGTA